ACCAATCACAGCTTGCAGACTTTAATGGTAGTTGTGGATGAGCCTCTTAATTTTCTCAGATGTTAAAATTAAGCATAATTCTTTACAAAAAGCCTCCACTTCCTGAGCTGTCTTGCATGAACTGTGCACTTGAGATCTCCAAATATTGAATCAGTGACACTAAGGTCGGGGACTGAGACACTCCAGAACCTTCACTGATGTTCTGCTGTACCCAATGACAGCTCGACTTGGCCTTCTGTTTTGGATCGTGGTCATTTTGGAACATCTAAGTACGTCCCATGTGCAGCTTCCAGGCTGATGAGTGCAAAATTGCCCCCAGTATTGGCTCATATGGACTTTCCCCTTACCCACTTTTCAGTTTCTAGTTATCAGGTGAAGAGGCAGCTGGAGAGACTGAACCGGAACTAGGATGCAGGTCCAGATGGTGTCAGCCCTCGAGTCCTGAATGCCTGTGCAGAGCAGCTCTGTGGGATTCTGCAGCACCTTTTCAACTTAAGCTTGACCCAACAGAAGGTTTTGCTGTTGTGGAAGTCATCTTGTCTGGTTCCTGAACGGTACGAAAGAAAACTCCCCCATCAGTCGTCAATGACTATAGACCTGTTGCCCTGACATTCCCACATCACGGAGGTCCTGGAGAGACTCCGGTTGGCCCAGCTGGGTAAGCAAACCAGCACATATCAGGACCCCGTACAGTTTGCTTATCGCTTATCGAAGACGCCATCATATATCTGCTTCAACAAACCCACTGTGAGGATCATGTTCTTTGATTTCTCCAGTACATTTTACCCAATTCAGCCTGATCTGCATTGTCAGAAACTCCAGAAGACACAGGCAACTGTTGGCTAATCCCCAACAGTTGCCTGGATTAATGAATACTTGACACTCAGGAGCACCACAGGGCACTGTACTCTCACCATTCCCATTCACTCTATACACTTCAGGCTTCCAGTACAAGTCTGACTCCTGTCATCTACAGAAATACTCAGAAGACTCTGAAATTGTAGGTGTATCAGAGATGGACAAGAAGCTGAGTACAGAGAGCTGGTGGACGGCTTTGTGGCACTGTGTGGAGGCAATCATCTCACCTTGAATCAGAACAAAACTAAGGAGATACTAAGGAATAAGGAATACCTCGGTGTTCATCTAGATGACCGAATTGACTGAAGGCTCAACAGTGAACCAGTCTACAAGAAGGGACAGAGCAAACGGTACTTCTTGAGGAAGCTAAAATGCTAATCCCCTATAAATCAGTTGTTGAGAGTGTCATCTCCTCTGTTGTCATCTGTAAGGGCAGCAGCTTCAGAGCCAGGGACCTAAAAAGGCTCAATAACCCGATCAAAAAGGCTGGTCCTTTTCTGGGGACGACTGTGGAACCTCTGGAGATGATGATGCAAAGAAGGATTTTGCTTAAAATCAAGCCAATTATGGAAAAATCCGACCACGGTCTTCATGAGACTGTAATTGGAAAACAGAGTCTCTTCAGTCAGAGGCTTCTTCAGACTGGTTGTAAAACGGACCGCTACAGAACATCTTTCCTGCCCAATGGCCACCACAATTTATAATAACTGCTTAACTAAATTAGTTACTCCAACATTTAATTTGAACTATAACATTCTGCATTCATCTTCCGATAAACTTTGACCAAGTTTCCTGTGCCTTCGTAGCTCACACATCCCCAAACCATGAGCGGCCAAAAGTTCAATTTTGGTCTCATCACTCTATTTCATCTAGTTCCAGATGTTTGAGGCTTGTCTCTGTGCTGTTTGGCTTATTTTGGGCAGGCCTATATTTTGTTGCCTTTTAATATTAACAGCTTTTCTTCTGGCGACTGGACTGTGCAGCACATTTTGCTTCAAGTACCTCCTTATTGTGCATCTTGAAACATCCACATCGCTAGTTTTCAGAGTCCTGTATTACAGCTGTTATTGGTGTTTTTTGCTTGACATCCAAAACAGTTTCCCTGGCAGTTGTGGCCGAAGGATTTGTTGGTCTACCTGACTGTGGTTTGGTTTTAACAAAGGCACTGATTTCCAAGTTGTTAATCACACTTTGAACACTGCTGACTGGCATTATCAATCTTTTAAAGGTTATTAATTCTTCATCTCTCTCTCTACGTATATATATATATATATATACACACATACATACAGTATATATATAGATAAAGAAATATAGACATAAAGATAGATATTTATATATATAGAGAGAGATGAAGAATTAATAACCTTTAAAAGAAAAAGTGTCATTCAAAAACTAAATGAAAGATGTGGAAAGATGTGGACAAGGAGGACGAGGAGGAGAGAGAGGAAAGGAAAGGAATGAGAGCAATTTAGGATGACAAGCACATTCAGCTGGAGTGAGACAGGGGGAATGAGGGGAGAATGGGAAATTAATGGAGGGAAGAGATAAGAAAAGGAGGAGGAGTGTAGGGGGTAGGCTAGAGGGAGAGAAGAAGGGAAGGTGAGATTAAACATAGGGGGAAAAGCATTGTCGTAAATAGTCAAAGAAACGTGAAGATGGTAAAACAAAAGCAAGAGGAGGACACGGATGGAAAATGGAGGACAGAATGTGAAAAGGAATCGAATAGAGAGGGAGGGATGTGTGGAAAAGGAATGTGTGAATACAAAATAGATGCAAAAAGGTGGCATGTCTGGCAAAAAACTCAATTCCAAGAATGGGAAAGAATGAAGAAGAGAATGACTGGCAAGGAAAGAAGACGGTGTGAAGATGGTAGTGATGTTTCCAGTGATTTTCGCTGTAATGGCTTTGGCCAGCTGTTGTCCACACATTCATATTTCACTGGACAGGGACACCAGGAGTTAGTAATGTGCATCCCCACAGTGCCCCCTGCTGTCCAGCTTCTGTCTTTTCTTTTTGGATCATGTGGAATTGGACCGACATCGGCACACAAAATAAAAGCACACAAAAATAACCAGGTATCAAAATCTAGAAAGATTTCAGCCACCACAGTAAAAACAGACAAATATTCCAAACACAGATGGTGAACACTTATTAACTCAAGACTGATTTGGCAGCTGTTTACAGATTATAGTGTTCAAGTATATAACACCGAATATAGTCATGAAAAATAAAGCATACTATTCTTTCATTCTGATGTAAAGACATGTATTTTTAAAAAGTTACATTTAAATACTTTAGCTCATCTCGTGTATTATGAGAGATAATCTCCATCTGGGTCATTGGAAATCATTACAGGAGTTTTGTTCAATTGCTTCTTCGCTATTCAGAAGAAAAGGAAACTTTCTTTACTTCTTTTTCAGAGAAGAGTCTCTCACTCAGGATTGTTCATGCATCTCTGAATAAAAGATCCCCTATAGACTTATGGGAACAAGACTACTTCCTTTTCTGGAACTGAAGCCACAGATTTTAATACCGAGATATTTTCTTAGTGTTAGTAAGTTGGTAAACTGACTCTGTTAAAACCCTAAATATTCCACCTATTAGATTAATTGAGAAGGTATTTTTTTCAAGTTAATTTGTCTTTTGAATTGAATTAGAAAAAAAAAAACCTTAAACTAGCTATAAAAAGATCATCTTAACGTGCTTTCAACAACTGGTGTTATCATCAGTAGCCATTCTTCCAATTTCATGCTAAAAAATTTGAGTCGCTGATAAAAAAAAATAAAAAAATAATTCATTAAAAAAACTGCCACAGCTTAGTGTTTCCCCTCCCGTGCTCAATGTGGTAAACACAGGGAGAAAATAACAGCGACCGAAGGTGATGATGTCGTTTATTAAATGCTTGGAGGAAACCGACTCATTAGCAGCGGCAGTGGGGGAAAACAACAACAACAACACTGTTGACATTTTAATGAAAGAGATTGTTTGTTATTTTGGTTCAGAGAGACATGATCACAAAGGATAAAGGAGGCAAATTAATATCAGAGTTAAAGACCGCACCTTGAACTCTTCTGTCATTCTTTTACCTTAAACATTTACCTCCTGCTATTATGGCTAAATGAGATGCTATAGCATCCTTTATCAACTCTCATCAAAAACATGCTATTTTAGCACCCATATCTCTGTATTTCCTCTCTTAAGAGGCCCAGTCTGGCATGACCGGTCATTATGACGGACAAAAAATGGTAGAGAAGTAAACAACAGACAGAAAAAAGACTACATGAGGCAGAAAAATCTGATCTGGGGATCCCTGCAGTCGAATAAACATCTGTGTACATCCTAAAGAAGTCAGTATCAGAATCTGTGGCAGAACTCACGATGGTGTCAATGGGGGAACTGAAAATTCTTGTCAATTCACACCGACATTTTCAAGCTTGAATGATTCCTCTAAGTCCAAACAGGTGAAACTTTGCCAGAGAAAGCTTTTGGTTTCAACTGGCACATGTCCAAAGTGAAATGTTGCTGCTTTAGGCAAGCATAAATAAAAATATGTGAAAGGTTGTGAAAATGTTGTTCTATTTTCTTACATTATCTACTGTTTTGTGGATGATTCTAGACTGCTGTGATCAGGTTTAAAGGGAAAAAACACTAATATAATAGTGTTATACTAATATAGAAAAAAATACACTTATATAAAAACACAAATATGGAAAACTTGAGAAGGTCTGAAAGCTACTCCACATGGCATTCCAGCTTTTAACCGGACCTCTGAACTTTGTTTTGACGCAATATTTGAAATAAAATAATTTGACTGAAATAGAAACCAAGCAAATTGTTACTGACGCAAACCAAAGATTTTTTAGCTTTATAATCAGGATGTATCTATTTGGAATGGTTTGAAAAACCATATTCTAAAGAAGATCTCAGAGCCGAGAACGCTCCCAAAATCGAGTATCTTGGATTTAAAAATGTTTCTTCCGACTTCCGGTTTGTCATGCGGGCAGGGTAGACGTAGCAACAGACTGCTCCGGAAAAATCCAAACTTTTAATTAAATTCACCCCACAGAAAACTAATTCTACGCCACCTATCAATATATAAAACGTCTTGGCAAGTATTTTTAATTATTTACGCACTAGAGATGGCCTGTAAGAGCGCGAAAGGAAGTAAGAAGGAGGACGCCAGCTTAACGCTAGATGCTATCACCGCACTTTTTCAGCAGCATGGTGAGGATCTGAAATCTGAGTTCAAGTCCTCTGTCAACATGCTGAGCTCCAAGCTAGACCAGGTGCGGCAGGCCCAGGAGGAACAGGCAGAGCGTATCTCCTCCTTGGAGCTTGCAACAGAGGATCTGGGCCAGCGAGTGGCTAGCCTCGAAGACTCATGTGCTGCTCTCCGTGGAGACAACGCTAAGTTGAAAGATAAAGTGACTGACCTGGAGAGCCGCAGCAGGCGGCAGAACATTCGCATCCTCGGTCTGCCCGAAGACACCGAAAGCGGGCGCCCTACTCAGTTTTTCTCCAACCTTCTCTGCGAGTTATTTGGAAAAGAGGTGCTCCCATCTCCACCAGAGCTCGATAGAGCGCACCGCTCTCTGGCAACTAAACGACCCGCAGGACGTCCTCCCCGCCCGGTGATCCTTCGCCTGCATCGATACCTGACCAAAGACCTAATCATCCGAGAAGCCAGGAGGAGAGGGAAGTTCGACTACAAAGGTGCGTCTCTTCGTATTGTGGAGGACTACAGTCCGGACGTCCTGGCCCAGCGCGCAGAGTACAGGGACACCATGGCGGAGCTCTACAAGCGGGGCTTGAAGCCGGCTCTTCTCTTCCCAGCGCGTCTTCGCATTACGCAACCCAGCGGTGCCAGACAATTTCTAGGTTCTGTGGAAGAGGCTCAACAGTTCATCAAGAGGCTTCCAAAACCACAGGAGGACAAATAAAGGAGCAACGTTTTGCCGAGGGCTTTCTTCAGAAACAGAGGCAGGCTGCTTTTCCTCAGGGCGCAGCAGGTACTGTAAATATAGACTTATGTCATATTACCCTATTTCCAATAGACTTTTTCTGGCCATCCTTTTGGTTGGTATTGGACTTTATGAATGGAAGGGTAGCTCTGTCATTCTATTCCTTGTGGTTGCCTCAATTTTTATTGCAATACTACTTTCCTATGGTGTTTATGACAGCCAGTAAACTATATCTCAAAATCAATATCAATGTGGGGGGTCTATATCTACTTCATACCCACTAGGGGCAGTGGTTAGTTTGTTACAGATAGTTCTGGGGTTTTTTTATTCCAAGGTTGTTGGTTACTGGAAGATTGGATCTCTGAGAATGTTCATTTTGAAGAGCTTGCTGCCACATTGTTGTTTTTTTGTTTGGCAGCTGTTTATGTTTGGGGGGGGGTTTTGGGGGAAGGCTAAGGTCACGGCCAGGGGTCCCGCGGGGTACTGTAACTTTTCTTCATCTCTTTTGTTTCAATCCCTGCATACCACAATGCTATTGTACTTATCAAAGTAGAATAACACGCACTCTCTGAAATCGTATGAGTCAGCATTTAAATTTTTTAAGTTGGAATGTCAAAGGCTTAAACCACCCAGTGAAGAGAAGGAAGGTTTTTTCCCATATTAAACGTTTTAATACAGATGTGGCGTTCCTGCAGGAGACTCACATCAGAAGCTTGGACGGGGGTCGTCTCTTGGCTTGCTGGAAGGGACAAGGTTTTCACTCCCACTTTCAGGTTAAGGCACGAGGGGTTTCTATACTGATCAGCCAGAACACTCCGTTTGAGGCCGATAATGTGGTGGCTGACAAACACGGCAGGTTTATTATTGTAAGTGGGAAACTGCACGGCACTCTGGTCACCTTGGTCAATGTTTATGCTCCTAATACAGATGATGAGAATTTTTTTAAACAACTATTCTCTTTCCTACCTGACCTCAATAAATACTCACTGGTCCTGGGGGGTGATTTTAACTGTTGGCTGGACCCAACTTTGGACCGCTCATCCCTAAAAAGTAATGCCATAAGCAAATCTGCATCAGTCATCCAAACCTTTCTATCTGAGTACGGGCTGTGTGATGTGTGGCGTACTTTAAATCCTGACAAGAAGGAGTACTCATACTTTTCACATGTACACAAAACTTACTCCAGAATTGATTATTTTATTGCAGATTCTAAATGGCTGCAGCAGATCCGTTCCTGTGACTATCATAGCATAGTTATCTCAGACCACGCCCCACTCACTTTGTCCCTGTCCCTTCCTCATTTCCCTCTAAGAACCGGACCATGGCGTTTCAATTCAACCCTATTGTCTGATGAAAACTTTGTAAAGTTTATTCAGGATGAGATACGTTTCTTTTTTGCCACTAACTCCTCCCATGAGACCTCCAGCCTTGTGGTATGGGATGCTTTTAAGGCCTACATTAGAGGCCAGATTATTGCCTACTCAGCCAAAATTAAAAAACAGTCCACCTATGAACAGAACAACCTAATTAAACAAATCAAAGAGGTTGATATAAAATATGCTCTGAATCAGTGTCCTGAACTGTTTAAAAGGCGTGTTGAACTCAAAACAAGGCTTGACCTCTTGACAACACACTCAGCTGAACGCCTGCTCTTACACAGCAAATCCAAATTTTATGTGCATGGCGACAAACCTGATAAACTATTAGCGACCATGCTCAAGGGCTCTAGGGCAAGGCAAAATATCTCTAGAATTCGAAAACAAGATGGCAGTATAGTCACGGATCACAAACAAATTAATGATGCATTCAGGGACTTCTATGAGGAGCTTTACAGCTCACAATCACAGACCAATTCCAACATGACTGTTGATTTCCTAGCTAAACTTCACATCCCTGTAATTTCACCAGAACTTAAGAACAAGTTAGATGAACCCATCTCCCAGGCAGAAGTCTCCCTAGCAATAGCCTCAATGCAGTCTGGCAAATGCCCAGGACCGGATGGTCTCCCCTCTGAATTTTTCAAACAATTCTCAGACTTACTCTCTGTGGAGCTTAGCTCCACCCTTACTGACTGTTTTAAAAAAGGGTCCCTTCCTCAGTCATTTTATGAAGCTTGCATCACACTTATTTAAAAAAAGGGCAAAGATCCAGTGGAATGCACCTCTTACAGACCTATCTCTCTCTTAAATACAGATGTCAAAATCTTAGCCAAAATTCTTGCCCGTAGACTTGAAACTGTTTTACCATCGGTTATTTCGAAAGACCAAACAGGCTTCATTAAGGGTCGGCACTCATATTTCAATGTTAGAAGGCTGCTTAATATCATTTATTCCAGCGCCTCAGACTCTGATGAGTGTGTTGTCTCTCTGGACGCTGAAAAAGCCTTTGACCGGGTTGAGTTTGACTATCTTTTTGCGGTCCTTAGCAGATTTGGCTTTGGAGGAAACTTCATTTCATGGATTAAACTGTTATACCAGCAACCGTCTGCCACGGTTCGTACCAACTTTCAGACCTCAAAACCTTTTAAATTACAAAGAGGCACCCGTCAGGGCTGCCCTCTTAGTCCCCTGCTTTTTGATCTGGCCATAGAGCCCCTCGCCATTGCACTTAAAACCAGTAAAGAGATTTCCGGCATTTGGAGGAATGATATGGAACATAAAGTGTCGCTTTATGCAGATGACCTTTTACTTTTTGTTTCCAAACCATCAACCTCATTGCCTTTAGCCCTCGATATATTTAGTCAATTTGGCCAGATTTCCGGGTATAAGCTGAACCTCACCAAAAGTGAGCTTTTCCCAATAGGTAATAAAGCCAATATGTCAGATTTAGCCAATCTGCCGTTCAGAATTGAAAGACAAAAATTCACATACCTTGGTATCACAGTGACAAAAAAACATAAAAACCTGTTCAAAGAGAATCTGATTCAACTGTTGAACCAAACGAAGGGATCCCTCACAAAGTGGACACCCTTTTCCATGTCCCTTGTGGGACGTATCAACTCAATTAAAATGAATATACTACCCAAATTTTTATACCTCTTTCAGGCATTACCCATTTTTATTCCTAATACTTTTTTTAATGAGCTAGACTCAACTCTCTCGTCTTTTATCTGGCAGGGTAAACGCCCAAGGCTTAATAAATTACAACTCCAAAAACCTAAACAACAGGGGGGGTTTGCCTCCCCCAACTTCCGGTTTTATTATTGGGCCGCCAACCTTAGATGCTCAGTGTTTTGGTATTTCTACTACAACCTGGGTGACTGTCCTGACTGGGTGGCTATGGAGCTACGTAGTGGTAACAATATATCCATCCCTGCCTTGCTCTGCTCCCCACTTTCACTCGCTTCAGTTAACGCCATTTCAAACCCTGTAGTGAAACACTCACTGAAAATATGGGGCCAGTTTAGGAAATACTTTAAACTTCATGACTTCTCCCTCCTGAGTCCAATTGCACTTAACCATCTTTTCAGACCATCTGTTCAGGATGGGGTGTTCCTAGAGTGGCAACGGAGGGGGCTTATTTATTTTAAGGACCTTTTTATAGGGAAGAATCTGGCATCCTTTGAGGAACTTTCCACTAAATATGGTTTACCTACATCCCATTTTTTTAGATATTTGCAAACCAGAAACTTTATTCAGTCTCACTTATCAGGCTCAGCTTCTCCACCAGAGCATACACTGTTGGAAACCATTCTATCGTTGAACCCAACTCGCAAAGGGCTGGTCTCATGGCTCTATAATAAAATGATGAGTACGAAAGGGTCCTCCTCACCTGAACTTAAAACTGCATGGGAAGAAGATTTGAATATGACTATTCCAGATGAGACATGGGACTCTATACTTAAACTGGTGAATACAACATCTATGTGTGCGCGCCATTGTCTCATTCAGTTCAAAATAGTACATAGAGCTCATTTTTCCAAAAGCAAACTGTCTCGTTTCTATCCAGAAGTCACCCCATACTGCGACAAATGTAAAACTAGCGTAGCCACACTAGTTCATATGTACTGGTCCTGCCCCGCTCTTGGTCAGTTTTGGACAGATGTTTTTCGTACAATGTCTGGGTTGGCCGGGGTGGTGGTAACACCTGGCCCCCTCTTGGCTCTCTTTGGGTTCAGGGGTGAGGGGTTGCCTTTACCAGCCTCTAAACGACGGGCCCTGGCATTTTGTTCACTGATAGCGAGGCGAACAGTCCTGACCAGGTGGAAGGGTTCTGCTCCTCCAACTCACAAGCAGTGGCTCTGTGACCTCATGTCGTGTTTGAAACTGGAAAGGATTAGATGTTCTCTTCAACACGCAACTGGTAAATTTGAAAAAACATGGGGAGCCTTTCTTGACTCATTTCAAAACATACAATAATGCTCCAGATTATTTAAGTTAATTGATTTTATTAAGATATGTTCCATTTCTGTCAGGGATAGGAATGTAGTGGGTGGACCTACTGGGCAGTGACCTGGGTGGGCTAAAGGGGATTACTTTGGAGGGATTATTTTCTCTGTGTGTATTATTTTATGTATGTGTTAGATATACTTTAACTAGATACACTTCTTTGTATTCACAAACTGTATGTATTTAAAGAAAAAACTCAATAAAAAGACAGTGATTAAAAAAAAATGTTTCTTCCAACATTCCTTCAACAGACTCCAACATGTTTAAATTTGTTGTCTGGTCTCTTACCGGATCTGCTCGTCGGTGACCGTGAACGGCTTGCAGAGCGGCTGGGAGGCGTTGAGCCAGATGGCCGGGCTCTTGTCGGCGGCCACCGACGTCTGTCCCGTGATGGGGGCGGAGCTCATGTGCAGGGCGCTGGCGATGGCCGAAAGCAGGGTGTCGCTGCTGGGGTCCGGACCGACACCTGTACCCAGACACACACGGGTCAGAAGCCCGCCTTAAAAAAGGGGCTGCTAATCCTAGAATTAGTAGCATTGGAAGCAGAGCCTTTAGTTGTAGAACCAGCTATTTAAATCTTTCCTATATACCTTTAATTACGCTTTTCCCCTTCCTTTTTGACACTTAAAATCAGCAATGGTTCAGTTATGCTGCTAAAAGAATGTCCAATGACATGTCTTTCCTGTCTTTGTTTCTCCTTTTCCTTCACATATATTAAAACATTGTTGGAATTAACTCCCTCTCCTCGGGTATCCGCAGATTTCAGCTGGCTGAGGCAGACAGCCTCCTTTTCCTGAGTCTGCTTCTACCAGAGGTTCTTTCCGGTTCAAAGGAAGCCTTTTCTTCCAACGGTCACCTGGTGCATGCTCAGGATGGGGAATGGATCGAAGAGAAGATACGGCGCAATCTGATGGGTTTTCTTGGCTAGTTTTTTTTCTTTCTTTGGTTCTGGTAGAATTGATTGTTTTTGGAATTTAATTAACTTGAACTGATTCGACTTTACATTACAACAGTGGCGGACCGTGCATTGCACACCTAGGCCTTCAGTAGTGTTCCGTCTGAATCAATTCACCCCTCAATAACTATTTTATGGTTATAAAAAACATCTTATTATGTAGGAGTACAGTATAAAGATCAGGGGTCAATCATCATAGTAAAACATCAATAATATCCTCATACTCGCAATATTATTTAGGAAAAAAGCAACATTTTACGCATCAAAAATTCAGATTATTAGTAGACAAAATCCCTCCTCTCTTTCCTAAAAAAGAGAGGATTATTATTCTGTCACACAGATTATCCGTGCGCTTCAGTTCCATCAAGAAGTCCTTTTCTATCGCCATTGAAGCTAACGCTGAAAGTCGAGCCTGCCCTGTCGTATTTCTGGCGTGAGTTTTAATTCGCTTTAGAGCTGAAAATGTCCGTGCGACAGAAGCAGTGGAAGCTAGCAAAGCTAGCCAACTCGTTTGCTAGCTTTGGCTGGTACGCTATCTGACTATCCAATCAGCAGGTTTAAATACGGTGACGTTGCCAAAGGCCTTCTAGAGGGCCCTGGTGTCACCAACATAAAATCTGATTGGTTAAAGCAACAGTTTAATAATATATTTTCTGTTAGAGGGCCCGCAGAATGGATTGTGAAGGCCTCCAGGCAGACATCTTTGACTTTGACCCTGCCTAGCAACAAATGATGGCTGAAATGTGATTGGTTAAAAGCTTTATTATGAAAATACATGTCTGGAAGCAGCACAACCAGGGGAAAAGCTATGAAGGGAAGCTGACAGACCATTTGGAAATATTTATTTAAAGTGTTCATGGACAAAATATAACATCAGTCTGTGATTCAGATATTTTCTTAGGCCAGCAGAGAAGGCCTTGCAGGCCCTGACGGTCCACCACTGCATTACAATGATTTGTATTAGGACTGGTTGAATTGGACTGTAGATGACGTGTTGTGATTCGGTGCTGTGTAAATACAGTCCGGTTGAATTTAACTGAATTGAATTGAGTGCTGAAGAACCTACCTTGAATCCCTTTGGGCAGGTCCATGGTGCGCAAGACCTGCTCTGTAACATCTGACGACCGGAGACCTTTCAGCCGCTTCTCCCAAAATAGCTACAAACACACAGATACATATTAAATTTCTATTTCTAATGCTAGATAAAAAAATGTGAAAAACATTTAGGCCAGACACTGAGACAAGTGTGTGTGTGTGTGTGTGTGTCAGGGTTTCACCTGTCTGGGCTGCTCAGTCGCTTTCTGAAAGTCTGCCTTCACCTTGTTGCCCGGGTGGCTTGTAACCTTGGTAACGGGCTGTTTAAAGATGGACGCAGTCTGTCTAATAGGCAGGGTTGTGTTCAGGTCCGGTTTCCCTCCCTGGAAAAGACAAATGCACGGCGTTGGTGACGCATCCAGTGGTGTCAGAGCTCTCGACTTCCTACAGTTGTGCTCTCTTCCTCTCCTTCAATGGCTCTTCTCCACCTTTATTCCCTCTTTTTTGATCTGGTTTAGCTCCCTAAACGCGGGACAAGAGGAAGGCATGAGCCTGCATCTGTCGCTCGAGCTTAAGGGTTAACTCGACACTGACTGAGGCCGCGGCAGGAAATGTGTGTGTGTGTGTGTTTGTGTGTGTGTGTGTGTGTGTGTGTGTGCGTGTGTGTGCTCCGAGGTAATGATGTGTGAAGAACAGCAGCACAGAGCTGCAGACCATGTCAATACGGCAAGCACACACGTGCACCGTCGCCTTATTCTTACCCAACGGAAGAAAGTCGACCATAAAAAAGGACAGATTCAAAGGTAAAATATCATGTGCTGTTAACTGTACGTCAGCAATGAACGTACCTGCATCTTAATTCTTTCCGGGATTAAAGAGAAAACTAGCGTCTTTGCTAGAGGGGAGAGGGAATAAAAAGCCAGAGAGAACCTTCCCACCAGCAGAGCTAGCCTGATCCCGCCACAATCTGTCTTAGCTGTGAAGTTACTTATGTAAAGGATGACACAGCAAAAAAATACAAATAAAAACATGTGAAAAAAACCTTTATGGGCTTGTCCTGAAGTAACTTTTTTAAAGCCATGTTCATCAGGAACACACAGCCCAGATCCAAACTCAATCAGTGGTCATCAGACTCTTTTTATATCCCGCAACAAACAGAGGGGGAGGACATGGCGAGCCCAGGCCCATGAGTGTGTAAGAAGGAGTAAAGTCACATGACATGGGGACTCTAAAACTATAAAATCTGCCCAAACATGGGAAACGAAGGTGTAGAGACGAGGGTCTGTTCACGACAACTTCCTTTAGCGTTTAGCGTTAGCAAAAGCCTCGTTGGTGGCACCGGAATCAAATCAGATTCCAAAAAAAAAACTACGCAAAGCGATGAAGAACAAGAATCAAGCATCCATCTTCATCCTAACAATCTGTTCCAGCACATTTCACTTGGTGCAAGCCCCCATCCCCCCATCCCCCACCCCAAACTTTATGAGGTTCATCATTCCACGCCTCGTAGTCTGTTTCAAGCACCAGCTGCTGCTGCTGTTTGGTTTTAATCCGCTCGCCCAGGTTTAGGATTCATTTGACAGAGTTTGATATCGGCACAGCTGCTGGGACGAGGGCGGTTCAGACGATATAAACCTTAAATGAGACACCGATATCGTTAAAGCGGCCATTTCCTGGATGTGTTCAAACTATAACATCAACTACATTGACAATATCTTTTCCGCCTGCCGTCCCCTGGATGTGTAAAGTTTTACGTCTCTGTTGTTTTGTGGGGATATCTCAGCACCAGAGCTGTGGGCCTATAATTTAAATGATCAATATCCTGTTTATGCTTTCACACATTTTATCGTTATATACTCTAGAAAGAGTCACGGGGGTTAGAGTTAGAGTTAGGTTAGAGCTGTCAAACCACAAAGTGATTTCTCACCATCTCTTTTTTGTTTGGCTTTAAAACTTTAGTCCATGTATCATGAGTTATACAAATATTGCTGGTAAAAATTGAATTTCTAAGTTATTAAAAGTTAGTTAGGTAGTATTAGTTATTAGTTTAATATATAAGTTATTAGAATATTGCTGGTAAAAATCTTTTAAGACTTTAAACGGTTCAAAGTGAAGATGATTAACAGACCAGTTGTTAGAAACGCTCGGTTCTTTCATTTCCTCTATTGTGTTTTCACACATGCAGCTGGATTAATACGATTAAAATAACCCCGCTCAATATAATCAAGTTTTTTAGCACAGAATATACTGTCTATGACCAACTATATACCCGATATGTATGTATATATATACACATACATACATATATATACATGTATTTTTCTTCTTTTCTTCCTCCATTTAAGAAGAAATTCGAGATCGGTCTGCCTTTTAACGTAGTTATTTTTGGTTTTTGCTGATTATTTCCTGTAAGCAAGAATTGGGCCGAAAGACAGAAAACACTGAAAGATGTCTGGGCCAAGAAAACATCTGGCTCACGGGAGGGAAAGGGATAAAGCCACTCACAAACGTCAGACAAACCGAATCAAAAAATGCTGACAAAACATGGCAAACCCTTCATTCATAAACGGGACACATATCAGTCAAAACACCCAGACACAAAGTTCTAGATATGTCTCAAATATCCCCGTCGTGGGACGAACAAAACAATATCTTGACATGCAACCAAAAGTCAGAAGTGAATCGATGATGGGTCTGAAACTAGGCTAAAAGCCTCCATTCTACCAGGACAGATTGGACATAAAATGGCCTTAAAGAGCCCACGAAAACCCTCCGTCCGGCTTCTTCTCCGCTGACCTGCTGAACTACTGACCTCTTAGAGGAAGAGCCATGCTAATCTCATAATCTGATAACCCGCGCCACGACCCAGAGTGCCTCCCCCACCAGGTGCCTCCCCCACCAGGTGCCTCCCCCCCAGGTGCCTCCCCCCCCAGGGCTACCTTGGCCAGGCTGAGGGGGTCGTGTCGGAATCTCTGCTTGTTCTTCTGCAGTTTGCCGGGCATCATCTTCCCCGTGCGGAAGTCGAAACATGCCAGGTCCACCGTGTTTCCAAGGTAACGGGACAACTGAGGCTTACTCCTGAACTTCTTCCCTGTGGGACTGAAGCAAAGGAAGAAAAAGAAGAAGAACAAAAGAGAACAATAAAGAATGAGGATATAACTCTTTCTTTCTCTTTATTCATTTTGAACAATAAAAAAATAAGCGTACAATTACATAAAAGAACATTTTAAAACATACATATGTGTGTGTATATATATATACATACAATTACATATTTTCAGATTACAGTAGTTACAAAACAAACAACATAAGAGCAACATAAGATTATCCAGCAAACTATTTTGTAACAATACTTTAGGTGTTCAAAAAGAGATGAGGAAGAAGAAATAGCTCACCCAGTCCTGTCTCCAAATCATTTTACAAGCTAATCAATAAGCTAGTAATACTGTAACTCAAACATGCATATGTATCAGTATACACAAACCTTTATTAGCACGTGTTTGTGTATACATATAACAAACCCTGTGCCAATAATTAAAGATCCTGTGATTGAAAGTATTAAATTAACTTCAAGACATTATCTAAGTAATTCAAATCCTCTCAAAGTAAATAGATTTCAATTTAATAAACTTCAATCAGGGCTCAGTGGATATGAATGAAATTTAATGGAAAAAACAGCAGACCTGGTTTGCCTGGAGCAAAAATATATTTATACATCTTTGTTTTGGGTCAGTTCAATTCTTCTGTGATCAAATGCTTATCAACAGAGATGGACAATAAAAAAAGAATGAACTTTTTGTGGAGCAAATTGAACTTTTGGCTATAAGACTTTGAGATCCAAATTATCTAAACCTAAATGCAGAAGCTTCTTGTTTAAAACCATAAGGCTTTAATTCCACGCATGATTTGAATGAAACTTTATCGGGTTAACGTGACACGCAACATTTACGTGGCACAATCGGCTCGAGAACTCTAAATCTGTTATCGATAGCTCACAAGATTCCAACCCTCACGGCCTGCCGCTGTATGGTTGTTCACACTAAAAAAATAAGTAACCACCTCAACACTTTGCAGAGTTCCAAAAGTACCCGTGTGCCTTGTGCAGGGATATGAAAATGTCAGTCTAACACTTTTGTTTCTGCATTTATGCATCCCCCTCAGAATTTTTCATACTCCAACACTCAAAAATGACTCAGCACGGGCCCTCGTGGAGGATCAAAATATAACCTTTCATTTTAGTGGGAAAAGTTCTGTTGCAAAACTCATTTATTTGTTTACAATAATGGGGGATTTGAGGAGATTTTCCCGACTATTTTTGTTAAAAGGGTCTGTTATCTATAAAGATGCGGAGACATTATGGAACCTGCTTCGTTTGCTTTGTTTTCTGCAAACAGCAACGAAAAAAAGAAGCCATTAAAGGTGGAAAAAGGAGGATGTGGTCCTCACAAAGACGCTAGAATCAAGCATTCGGCCACATCCGACATGTAGGTCAGCAGCAACAAATGTGCGCGTGTGTGTTTGATTCCCTGCTTGACCAGGCAGAATAATTCACATTATGTCTCGATTGAAAATCGCCTGTGTTTGCAAAGGGGAGGGGGGCGTTATCTATCTGGTCTCGGTGGTCTGCGTCGGGCCTAAAAACTGCTCTCTGTGGGTGTGAATGAGGTTTCGCTAACGCTCGCTAACGGTGGAGCCTGTGGCGGCCTGAGGAGGGTGTTGTCGCTCTTCCAGTCAGTTGACCTGCGTACTGGTTCCCTTACTGGAACTGATGAGTCACAACAGCCAGGCAAAACCGAAAGCAAACCCCCCCGGCGTCACGGCTCCAGGATGTGAGCGTAGCTCAGATGTTTTTTGCCTCCGGGGCCCTGCTGAAGCGAGCGAGCCCTGCCTGAGCCGGAGACTAACAGGAAGTGAGCGCGGCCTCGGGCCCTGCGGCGCGGCGGGCCTGCAGCGGGGAGCGACTTCCTCTCAGATCTGACGCGAACCGAGCTGCACACGCAGGCAGGACCCGAAAAAAAAAGACTTAAGGGTCGACTTCGGTCGTCTTTTTACGAGAGAGCTCAAAGGGGATGACGCCACATCGGGCTAAAAGAGAAGAAATCTCCTCAGCTGACGCATGACTGGATCAAATCCAGGCCAACTCGATGCCATTTTCAGCCCAAAGCGTAAACATATTTAAAGAAGTTTAGATTTGTGAACAGACACAGCTCTGTAACTTCAAATATGGAGCTACAAAACAGCCTAAATTAAAATGCATTTCTTTGTTTTAAAAACCTTAAAGTTGCTCCATTTTTTTTTAAAACCACTGTACATCTTACTGTTTTTTTACTGTTAATGTTGGAGTTTTAATGAACACGACATGATTTAAAGTTGATTTGATCCGTTTCCTGTGCAATTATTGAATATATTACACACACAAAGGTGGTTTAACATTTATGGGAGCTAAAGTCCAACATTAAGTCATATCGTTCATATGTGATGTCGTCATTTGTTATAGTTAAAAGCAATAAGGATCATCATCTTAATGCTGTAGTACATATGACCTAAAAAAAATGAAACGGCCAAAGTTCGGACTCATTTCAGCCTCACTGAGGTTTCCACCAATGGAGGGAAATGGCCGTCTCAAGATTTGCTTTTTCGCTTTCGAATTTACAAACTCCCTGTTAGACTCAGTTAAAAGGTCAAAAATGTGTTGCGCTATGAAGTAAAACAAAGCTTTAAAATGTAATTTTTAAGTGTTTTTATATTTGGCGGGAAAGAGCGTCATGCGTATAAAATTATTAGCAAACTAAGATTTCAAAAACAACAATTTTGAGAAACGTCTGAGCACTTGCGAAGTTAAGATAAACTAACTGTCGTATCTATGACATTATAAATAATAAATAATCATATAATCATACATATATCCGGTTGTCCTTACTTGAACTAACCAAACTGGCTCAGTTATGACCGCAACACCCCCCCCCCCCCCCAAAACTAAGCAAACTAAGATTTTAAAAACAACAATTTGGAGAAACATCTTATAACTTTTGAGCTCTTGCGAAGTTAAGATAAACTAATTGTCGTATCTATGACATTATAAATAATCATACATATATCCGGTTATCCTTAATCGAACTGACCAAACTGGCTCAGTTATGACCGCAACCCCCCCCCCCCCCCCCACCACCACCACCGTTGTATAAAGCCTGTGCAAAACCCACAGAATTATGATTGACTTTACCAAAAAAAAGACCAGAAGTACCAAAAGAATATCTAATTTTTCTAGTTTTGGAATAAGCGTCAGGGGGGGGCGGGGTGCCTGTTGGGGCCTCATGACCCCAGAAGGTCCAGCGAGATTAGATCAGGCCCTGGAGAAGAGCTCAGCCCTGTCAGTGACAGTAAACGTCTCACTGGCAACCAGCAGCCTCTGTATACACACTTAGGATGAATATTACAGGGTGGGGGGTGGATGGGGGGGTGGGGGGTGGATGAGGGGGTAGGGGGGAAGCTGGAGCTGGAAGCTTGGTTGCGACTGAAACCCACCAGGGAGCCTCTCAACCCCGACTCAAAACATGGGAACTTCCCACTCCGGTGGTGAGCACAGAGGGAAAAGTTCACTCAAAAGCCCCAAAAATGAGGATGACAGCCGGGGGGCAGAGGGGAGCTGAGGGGAGGGGGGTTGGAGGGAGGGTGGAGGGGTCCGACCGGTCAGTGTGAGGCGTACCTGTAGTAGTAAACGTCGCTTTTTCCGGCGCTCAGCCCGGACTTCCGGATCACCTCCTCCTTCTTCCAGCCGGGCGGCAGAGCGGGGCAGTCCATCCTCTTCCTCTCCATCACCGCGCGCGCGGACCGACCGGACTACAAACTGTTCGATACCTCGGGTGAGCCCGGACCGCCCCCCCCACCCCTCCCCACCCCACCCCCCTGCCACCCTACTCCCCCACCCCCCTACACACACAGACACACACCCCAGCCGAAGCCGAGCGGCGTGGTGGTGAACCGAGGCGGCAGAGCGACGTCACGGGCGTTACGCAGGCGGCGGCTTCGGGCTCCGCTCGCGCCCCCGCTTTCAAGGGCCACCCGCTTTCTGCTCCCGGCGGGGACCCGGAACGGCGGCCCCGGCTCGGCTCCGGACCGGACAGGACTGTGAGCGGTTCCCCAGGCGGGGAGGGGGAGGATAGGTGGAGCCGAATCCGCCCGCGGAGTTTCGCTTCGGGTCTGCCGCGAGGAGCCGGCGGCTCATCGGAGCCGGAGCGATCTCGACCGGAGTGGACCGACGGCAGCCTGTGACGTCTGAGATATCGCTGGCATGACACGCTCACGCTCACGCACACACACACGCGCGCGCACCCAGTCAGAGATCGTCTATTCGGGAAAGACGGCTCACTGGTGTCCCGTTCAAGAAAAACGGAAAACCCAGTGTGCATTTCTACATATTTACAGATTTACACCACCAGCAAAGACATTTTATGTATCTAAAATGGGGTTTTTTACACTTTCAGACACCCAGGCTGTTTTCCCCCACTGTAAATCAATATTAAAACTATTTATAAAGGGAAACTGGCATCACGTGTCTGACAGATATAAAATCAATCAAAAATCAATTTAAAACCGCAGACATAGTCAACACAAGTTGTTAAATGTTCCAATTATTTTGCTGATTTATATTGATCTTAATGCAAATATATCTTAGACTTAGTTTTGAATGACTTCAGTCAAACTAAAGCCATGCAAAAGAGATGTCCTTCAGTTTGATTCAGACACTTAGGCTGTTTTCCCCACTTTAAATTACAAATAAAAACTATAAAGGGAAACTGGCATCACGTGTCTGACAGATGAGAAGAAAATCAATCAAAAATCAATCAAAATTGCAAATATAGTCAACACGACTTGTGTCGTGCTCCAATTCTTTTGATGAGTTCTATTGATCTTAATGCAAATATATCTTAGACTTAGTTTTGAATGACTTCAGACAAACTAAAGCAATGCAAAAGAGATGTCCTTAAGTTTGATTCAAAGGGGTTTCTGCCTTAAAGTGGTTGCTGTTGCAAAGCCCTCTTCTGCGTTTTCACTTTTAGTCCTGTCTTTGCGCTTAAGTCATTTGAGTTTTTATTCCATTGCAAACTACTAAACAGCGACCTGGAGGAAAACTTCCACAAAATTGCATTTTCAGACACTTTAATGTTAATGTTAATAACATTCTTGTTTAAATTTTAAATGTCAAATGAACACAGTGATTTATTATGAGAATTCTATATGGTGATGATAAACTTTCCTTTTGTGGCAAACAAAATCCTTTTTATCATTCATTAGTTTCATTTTTCATTAATTTTTTTCTCACTTGCATGTGTGCAAAATGCCAAAAGTAACATACTGTAATTTGACATAAAATCATATTGTAAGACAAAAAAAAGCTACTGACTAAAAGCCTTAAATGGAGTTGTCGTGTTGTGCACAATGTTTGTTTGAATACATAAGGGCAGCAAATGAACAGGATCTGAAATTAAGGCCTTTAAGAGCGTTCATAATCCATCAAAGTCCAGACACAGGGCCTGAGATGAGAGTGTATCCATCCACTGTTCATTAAATCCTCATCAGAAGTGGTCTTCTCCGTAAAAGAAGCAGAGAAGCAGGAAAACAGGAACTAACGATTGAGACATAAATTCAAATGTAACCATTTTTTGCAACAATGAATCCTCCTTGGACACAGAGAACAGATGAAAAGGCAACAATATCAAAGAAGAATATTTAAATGTCCCTCGATGACTTGAGGAACTCTTCCTGAAGAGAACTTTGAAATATGTAACGTGACGCAACAGCTGATAAAATGAGAGCTATCTTAGGCCTATTATACCAAAATATCATTATCTATGTATTCAATTCCCACATCCTAACGGTGATACTCCCACAGCTCATTCATTCAGGGAACTGTTTGTTGGTTTTCTGAATTTATAGTACTGTGTATATCGCATGACAAATTGTTGGAGGATTGTTTTGGTTTTGTTTTTTGGCCTTGTTGTTGTTTGTTGTCTATGTTCATCTCAGAAAAGGAAATATATATTTATTTGGTTAAATATATCATTTTTTGCTAACAAGGATTTTCTGTGTCAAAAAAAAAGGACCAAAATCATGTTAGATTTAAGGGCGATATGGTTTTTACGCAGAGGCATTTTTCTCATGCCTGGACACGGAGGCAGAGTGATCCGTCCCTGTTCCTTCCCTCCCTCGCACTCACTGACGTCACACGCCCGACTTAAAGGGCCTGCAGGAACCACAAACCCTGATCCAAAGCTCTGACAAGCCTTCCATGGAATTGCTGCCAAAGAAAGTGATATCCATCCATCCCTGCTCAACTGGTCTGCGTACAGTACAGAAAACAGAGTTCTCAAAAAGTGCTCAAATGTTAAAAAGCCAAATAAATACATTTATGATTGAATAATTACTCATTGTACCACCCATGTTAAGATAACCACTTTCCAAAATATCCACCTCTCTATGGCAATGAAAGCTCAATAAGAAACAGGAGAAATAATACTATATATTAAAGGGTGTGAAGGTAAATGATAGTATACTTTTTTTAGCTTGTTAGCGGCTAACCGGGCGTGTCTCTGGTAATTCAGGGAGAAGCTAAAAAAAAACAAGGCAGAGAAGAAGGTGCGCCTTCCTGTGGAAAGTTCTGCCTCTGACTGTCGTCTCGCCCAACAAAGACGTTAAACTACCCAAACCGGAGCAAACTGGACGGTCCTCACCGGGTGGATTTACCACTAAACTGGTTGAGAAGACTAATTCTGTTCCAGACATTTATATGATTATCAAAACCGAGAGCGTATGGTGGAGAGTCTAAGGTTTTTTTCATTCTGTTTCACCCTCATTTTGTAATTTGGGCCTTTGGCGAAGCAACACTGGCAGAAGTATGAAAGTTAATGTTTTTTTTTGCTTTTATTGCTCTTTGGACTTAGCATCATACATGGCAAAGTATGTTTTGAGGTTGTGGACAGAGGTCAACATCTGTTTGGAACTGTTGGGAGAAAGGAAGTAACATAAATAACTGATGGTTTAAGGTTGATTAAAGTCATCTATTGATAAAAGTAAAGATCTGTAAATTAACCCAAAAGTGAGACAATTGTTGACTTAATAAGTGCTAATAAAATGAAAATAAGACACACACACACACACACACACACACATACACACACCACTGCCATGGAAGGGAGGTCAGATTCCTCCATTATCCGGTGGTGGCCGCAAAAAAATCATGAGAACATTAATAGACCCTCAGTGACCGAATGGGGAGGAAGTTGAGTCATCGTCCGAGCATTATTGTGTTTACGGGACCATTTTTAATGGCAAAAACATTCCCTTGTTTGTGTATCAGGGAACTGGCCTAAACAGTCGTGACACAGGCGGATTATTTCAAACGTCCTGGAGCTAATTTATGGGATTTAATTCAAAGTTGAGTGGAAGTTTGCTAAAAGTTGGGTGTATCATCGCCTTTTCAAAACAGAAGTCTCACTACTTTTCTCGCCCTCTGTCCACATACTCACTGGCAAAGTTTGAGAGCAAAAATCGATGAAGCATGGTTTAAACACATCTGCAACTCATTATTCACGCATCGATCAGTAAACACTTTGTTGACAATTAAGCAGCAGGAGGCCTGATCAACGCTATCGAATTTAGGTAAAGCAGTGATCATCCATCCATCCATTTTTTGGACCACTTATTCCCAAATAAGGTTAAAAAAGTGATCATAAGCCTGAAAATTAAATCGAATGAAAATCAAACAAAAAATGTAGTATTGCTGAAGAAAATAAAAGCAAAGATCAAAATAATGATAGAAACAATAATTGATAACAAAAAGATAACGTCTAATTGTGGACTGTCATGGCTGCTGGCAGGAATTGTACTCGGTTCCCTTCTGCCTGGAACCAAACTTGACAAAGCTGTTTTTCCGTGTATTGTGTAAAGGATGTGATGAATTGTCTATCATCTCACACATCAAGCGGCTCCAGAACCAGCCATCTGGATCACTTTGTTTAAAATCCTTAAGCCTCGGCCTTAAGCCGATTGCACTTTTAACAACAGACTTGGTGGCGGACATTGGAAGATCTCAGCTTCTTTTAGGGGTACAATTTCCCTTGTCCAATCTTTGTAGAAGCTAAACCTCAAGCTAGCTGTGATCCTCTTCCATAGGGTCAGTGGTTAACAGTGCTTTGTGGACTCCTTTTACTCCTGAAATCAACAATCGTCTCTTTTGTTCGGCCGGTGCTTAAGATGAGTTAATTGTTTCCAGACCATCTAACAAACTAACAGACCGGTTTTCGGCACTCACCGCTGGTCCACCCCACAACTCCTGAGTCATCAGTGTGTTGCTGACCACCATCTCTTTCAGTCTCACATACCGTGGTGTTTGTGAGGTAGTCTTCAATCTAGATGGTTCCAGAGGTACCCACCTGGAATCTATGGAGTTTCTCACATAACAGCGCAGTCTGAGTTCTATTAAAAGGACTTGAGAAATAAAATAGTATAAAACGTGATTCTTGATTCTGACATATTTGTTCTGAGCAGGTTTTCAGAACCCTGGGACTGACATCATCTGGAAAATTGTAGTTTCGTGAAGGATACCGAACTTGTTGAGGAACACCTTCAGCTCATTAGATCTTTCAAGACTTCCATCAGTCCGATCCAGCTTTAACATGAATCAGGTGACCTAATTCATGGTTGACAACATGTCACTCTTGTTGTGAACAATTGCCAACAATATGAAGCACCAAGGTGGCCTCAGCCAGTCTGGATCTGCAATGGAACCCAACTGATCGACTGGCTAAAAGCAGGTACCTGTGATCTCTGAAAAAGTGAGAAATGACAGGGCTTATTTGGCCAGAGGAGAGTGGACGTGAGGATAAGCCCCCTCCGAGTAGGTGGGGGTGGCTCCATATCTATAAGATTTGTGCAGCAGATGTTGAAGATGGCCTTGTTATCCAGCTTGAAAGGGTAGTTGGAGAATTTCGGGTGGTGTTGGTGGTCGGGGTGGCAGGATTTTAGGGGCTCTGCCAATGCAGGGAAAAGCTGAGTATGTTGAGAACTCCAGCTTTGATTTTATTTCCTTAGTCAGCAGATAAATGTTCCATGAAAGCAGAGGCAGTGGCACCGCTGAAGCTTCAGAAAACCAGGAATCCCGAAACGCCAGTGAAGTGTTTAAGCTGAGAAAAGAAACAATTACCAGTGCACGGATTCTGTCTAGAACTAGGTCAATTATCTTTTCTCCTGCATTGAATAGTTCAGTGAAGTGTTGTTAGCAGCATCTTCCTTTCAAGGGAAAAGCTGCTTTGAGTGGAAAAGGAAAAAAAACAATCGTAAAGTCTGACTGATAATAGAAAATATACGTTTGTCTTCATGTCAGCTTTAAGAAATGACGTCTATCTATTAC